TAAGTCCCACGATCCTTTAAGTAGAGGAGCCTACAAACTCCGGTTACAGCCCTTTTCCACGCTCTTAAGTCCTATTCCCATAGTAAGCCCATAAAAAACCATTCAGGAAGCCTCCACGACGGACTTAAAGGAACCGTTAATTAAAGCAAGACCCGAGATTGCTCAATCTGCTGCCGAAAGGCTTCATTTCTTCTCGAAGAAGCCATCATCCTGTAGGGGCTCGGGCTCTTTAAATCTGAAGCACCCTAAGAACAATAACGAACATCATGTTGTTACGAATCCCTTGCAGTGTTACTGTAATCAAAGGCAGTTTCTGAACGCTTAACTTTAGCCCTCAACCCCAAATAAAAAGGCTTGTCCTGTTTTTCGAACGCGGGATTCGGGACAGGTGGGTTACGGTTTGGAGTTTTAGATTTGGGGTTTCGAGCTTATGGCTTAGAGTTTTGCGGTGTAGATAAGACTGCCAACCCTATCAAGCCGCTTCGGGCGTCGAAATGGGAGAAACAGGAAACAAGGGGCCACAGAACAGGCCCTGAACAATCGAGTTAAAGCTTCTCGTTTAGTGGCTTTGTGAACGGACCCCAGGACGACGACCGAAATGTAAACAAGAAGCCGCCTCGAAGCGCTGGAAGTCTAAGGCACTTATAGTTAGAATAGGGTTTTTGCTTTTAAGACTCTAAACCCCCAAGACAAACCCAGAACCCACAAACACCCCAAACCCTAAATATCCAGAATATCCTGAAAGGGTTTAGGGTTTAGGGTTTAGGGTTTAGGGTTTAGGGTTTAGGGTTTAGGGTTTAGGGTTTAGGGTTCGCCGTCCTCGTGGAAGGCAGACGCAGGCATGCCCGAGGGCAACTTGACGATGGCCCAGGGTGCCCTATCCTCGAAGGCGATCCTGCTTGGCAGCGCCAGGAGCCGTCGGAGCGAAAGCTGTGGTAAGCTAATCCAAAATGTCGAAGGAAAGGCTTAGGGTTTAGGGTTTAGGGTTTAGGGTTTAGGGTTTAGGGTTTAGGGTTTAGGGTTTAGGGACTTTGGGGTTTATAGTAGAAGCTGTAAGGTTGGAATATGATCATCCTCATGCCCTGAAGGCAAAGCATCAGGGATCCTAGCACTAATCGTCCTAAATCCATGTTCCAACTTTCTGGGATTTCCTGTAGGGGGTTCCTTGACGGTCTCATCTTAAGGGTTCGTCTAAAAGGTTAAGGGTTTATGGTTTAGGGTTTAGCGTTCAGGGTTCAGGGTTTAGGGTTCAGGGTTCAGGGTTTAGGGTTTAGGGTTTAGGGTTGTTCGGCTTTAGCATTTTAGGCTACGCACGGGTGCCGGAGCCAATCCTTCAGGGCTGATATGAACCCTAGAAGGGCTTAGGGTTCTAATACCATATCATATATCATATACTCTAAACCCTAAACC